TGGGGGCAGGGTAGGGGTGGTTGCCTCACATAAACAAATGCATTTTCAACACAAACAGAATAACATAAACAGCCTAAAGACTGGTCCCTTAATTTATGTGAGGCAATTTGAAAGACAGCTGCCTGGGCAACTGATTTGAAGAGATCTATATTTGTTCCCATTCTCAAGAAGAGTGATGGAACAGAATTGTGGAAATTCTTCTCCTAAGTGGTACAGCACTGCTCTGTCCTTTTTCTGTATTGAGGTAATTTTGGATTGCTATGATATCAAACAGTGTGCCATTAATGCCATAATAGTTACATATAGTTGACAATGTTTGGTAGAGCTCATTGATTAAGACAGAGTTGGAAGCATGAGTGGCATCCACTTCCTAAATATGTCTGTGGAAACTCTATGAACTTAGCGAAAGGACAATAGTTCTTTTGTTTATAGGGTTGGTACTAGGTGGCACTTAACAACAGCATATAACACCAAAGTCCTTGTCTCCATTTTGGAGTTGGATAAAGCGGCTGGAGTCTGTAAGATGGTGCTCTTGTTTTGGTTGAGGATCTGTGTGGATTTTTTGGTTGTTTTTATTTAAGCCTCTTGTTGAGTCAACAACACCTCCTGAGAGGCCCTTATATTTAAAAGTTGGGCCTGAGGGATTATTTTAATCCCATGTTACTGTATTTTGGAGGAACATTCTCTAAGTCATACAGCACTCTGGTCAATTCGGTTTGATGAGGTAATCTGGGTTTGCTGTGACACTGAATTTTGTGCCATTTGTGTCTCAAATGCTATAATGGAACAACTGTGCCATAGTTGGGCCAAACACCATAATGGCTACTCATCGTGGCAGTGTTTGGTGGAGCTCTCAGATTGATTCAAGATTGTTTTAAATTCGGAAGCAGGAATGGTGTCCACTTCCTAAACCGCATGCCTCTGGAAACTGTATGAACTCAGAGAAATGACAATAGTTATAGAAAGGCTTCAGGTCATTTGTTCATAGGGTCGCTATGAGTCATACTCAACTCGAAGGCATTAAACAACAACATTATTAATATCACACACACGCTAAATGCTACTGCAGTTCATTCAGAAACAGCTGGAACAGTACATAGACAAAGAACTGCCAGATTAAGATGGATTTAGAAGAGATTGTGGCACCTGGGATATCACTGCTGATGTCAGATGGATATTGGCTGAAAGCAAAGAATACTAGAACAATGTCTATTTGTGCTTTATTGACTATGCAAAGTCTTTGAGTGGATCATAACAAGTACAGCTAACACTGAGAAGAATGGGAACTGTTCATGCAACAATTATATCTAGACTAAGATGCTATTATGTGAGCAGAACAAGGCAACACTACATGGTTTAAAATTAAGAAGTGTGTGTTGTAAGGTTGTATTCTCTTCTCCATATCGATTCAATCTTTATGCTGATGAAATTTTTAGAAGCTAAACTCTATGAAGAAGAATATGGCATTAGATCTGAGGAAGACTCATCAATAACCTACATTACGCAGATGACATAACACTGCTTGCTAAAACTGAGTAAGATTTAAAGTACTTGTTGCAGAAGATCAAAAAATACATTCTTCAACACAGATTGCATCTCAACATGAAGAAAACAAAAATTCTCACCACTGGACCTACAGACAACATCGTAAGAGGTAGAAAAAAAAAAAGACTGAAACTATCAATGGTTTTTTTCTTACTTGGATCCACAATTAACAGCCTTGGTTCCAGCAGTCAGGAGATCAGGAGACATACATATGTACAAGAAAACTCTGCAGTAAAGGACTACTCCAAATTATTGAGGAGGAATGTCAGTTTGAGAACTAAGGTACAGTTGACTCAGGCTATGGTGTTTTCAGTGACTTGCTAGGTTGTTGAGAGCTGGACAATGAATAAAAATGACAGAAGAAGAACCGATGTCTCTGAGTCGTGATGTCAGAAAACAAACAAACAGGTATGTCCTTAAGAAGGTGCAGTCAGAGTGCTCCTTTAAGACAACGATGATAAAATTTTCATCTCAGATACTGTGAATGTTTTGCTAGAAAAGGTGATTCTTTGGAGAGGGACAACATGCTTGCAAAGGTGGAAGGTCAGTGAAAGAGAGGTAGACCTTCACTTAGATGGACTGACACAGTGATTACAGCAATGGGCTCAAGTATGTTAGAGATTGTGAGGATAGAGGCTTCAGATCTGTTGTGCATACAGTTGCTATGGGTTGTACTCAACTCAATGGCACTAAGTAACAACAACAATGAAGGCCCCATTTCAAGTTAATACCAATGGAGACTGTAAACTGTTTGCAAATAGACTTTCTAAGGTATAAACAGACTGCGACATATGTATTAATTATTTCTAATCAAAATATTACTTTAGGAATAACAAAGAGTTGGCTGCTGGCTATACAGGAATTACATTAAATAAAATATAACCAAGTACTATAGAAATCCATTACATAATCAGTATTTCTAAATATTATCACCATAGATAGTTTTTAAATATATCATGGGAATGTGATGCTTGTATTAAGGACTGTATTCATTATCTGAGGATTAAATATAGCATGGGTACTATCACTCTCTTCAAGAAATCTCTCATCAAAAAAGTTACCTGTAATATACATAAAATAAGATGTTGTTGTTATGTGCTATCAAGTCACTTGCGAATCATAGTGACCCTATGTACAACAGCTCCATATCCTGCTCTATCCTCTGCCAGTATTATTGTCTCTGATACACCTACCCCATTACCCTGGTCACTAAATCAATCCATCTCATCGAGGGTCTTCCTCTCTTGTGCTGTCCCTCTATCCTCCCAAGCATGATATTCCTCTGCAAGGACCAGTCTCTTCTTGCAACATGCCCAAAGTACATCAGACAAAGCTTCAGAATCCTTGCCTGGACTCACCTTCTCTAGGACAAACCTATTCATTCTCCTAGCAGTCCATAGTGTATCCAGCACTCTTTTCCAACACCACAGCTCAAAGGCATCAATTCTCCTTCTATCATCCCTAGTCACTGTCTAGCTTTCTGATGCATAAAGTAATTACATAAACCACGGCCTGAATCAGGTGCACCATAGTCTCCAGACTGACACCGTTGCTCTTCAGTACTTTGGAGAGGTGTCTGACATGAGACTTTCTCAATGCAATTTGTCTTTTAAGTTTCTGGCTGCTGGTACCATGAGTATTAATTATGGAGTCTGGCAAACTGAAGCTGTTAACAATCTCAATCTCTGTATCGCCAAACATGATGCTGCCAATTGGCCCAGTGGTGAGAAACTTTGTTTTCTTGACATTGCGCTTCAATTCATATTTATGGCTGCATCTTTGACCCTCTGCAGCAAGTGTTTCAGGTCCTCCTCAGTTTAAGCAAGCAGGATTGTGTCATTTGCATAACACAGATTGTTGATGAGTCTACCTCCAACCCTGATGCCACATTTCTCTTCAAACAACCTAGCCTCCCACATAACCTGTTCTGAATATAGATTGAAAGGGTATGAAGATAGGACACATCCCTCGTGTACACCCTTCCCAATTTTAAACCATGCAGTGTTGCCTTGCTCTGTTCTGATGACTGCCTCTTGGTCTAAAGTATACGTTTCGCATAAGCACTATCAAGTGTTCTGGGATGTCTATTCATCCCAGAGTTAGCCATGGTTTGTTGTGATACACACAGTCAAATGCTTCTGCATAGTCAATGAAAAAAAAACAAGATAGTCATTCCTCTTGTACTCTCTGCTTTCAGACAAGATCCATAAGATACACTTTTTAAAATACTACTCTTGCTTTCATTAAAGCCACCTTCAAAAATCCCAATGGTTTAGCTCTTTCTAATAAAACTCTACTAAATTTTTAAACATTTAACCTGCCATCTACTATAAGTGATTTTCATTAAAAATTTAATTTTAGAAGTACTCAATCCTCTTGGCACTTGTTTCAATTAACAACTAAATATAAAACTGACATGCCCACAAATTAATTAGCATTTAAAGAGGAAAGGGAAAATAAGTAGAAAAATTTACTCTTTTCATAATTAACAATTCTTGACATTTGAACAGATTAAAATTGGAGGAAGCAAGCCTTTTTAAACAAAGCCTTACCATTTTGCTTTTGTCGTTATTGTATACTATCAAGTCCAAACCAACTCACAGCTAACCCTCCAGAAGGTTTTCAGCAGCAGTAAATCACATAGGATGAAACCGCCCATCCTGCTCCTGAAGAGCAGCTGGTGGATTCCAACCGTGTGCCTTTCATTTAGCAGTGCAACACCTTACCACTAAATCAACAGAGCACCCTAATTATGTTCTAGATTTTTTTTCCTATGTACTCCATGCTTACAAAGTCCTTCATTCTTCTGTTTCAGTTGAGATAACATTCACTGCATGACATAAAATTTTTTTGGGGGGGGGATGTTTTATTTTTTAAATATAAAACCTAAATGCAAATCAAATCCACAGCCCTAAGTTGATTTGACTTCTATATCAGTGACTCTCTATTAGGTTCCTAATGCCATAAATCTCTATCGCCTCAGAGAGGCTCTTGGGCTCAAACTACCAACCTTTATGTTATCAGCCCAAAATGTCTAATATAAAACTAGATAACCATAAATAAAGTGTGTAATTGCATCATAAAAATCATCACATTTCTAGATGAACAGATCACACTTAAAAAAATCTGTGTTATAAACTACGAAAAGACAGTCTGCTTATCACAGTATACCCCACACAAATAAACAGAACATGTGAAAGTAATAATTTTCCTTCAATAAGTAAACATTCTAGCTTCTAATGTGTTCAAATAATGTGTAATAAGAGTTTGATTTTTCAGAAGAGCAAATAATACTACTTTTGCTATCTGCTTCCATTAAGATTGCTATCTGCAGCCATTAAAAACGATGGCCAGCTGGAGTAGTTCTACTATGAAAACATGTACTTCTTAACTATAATAAACGATCATGTAACATTTTAGTAATTTATTATTAGAGCAATCTTAAAATGACATACCGAAGTTGATGCTCCCTCAAGTTTGATAAGGCTTCCATACCATGTAAATAGGAATACACTATTTCCAGATCCTGTTTGAAAAAAAAAAGTTATTAGACATGAATGAAAAGTATTAAACCTATTTGAAACTTGTTTACAAGCAAAATTAAGTTACAGATAGTTCAGCAGACATTTTCTTAGACAATGAAAATAAATTAGCTCAAATTTACTAAAATCTATTCCTCATAAAGTTTTTTTACCATCTAATTCCTACCTATTACATAAAATTTTAAAGTACAGATAATTGATGGTATAAATAAAAAGATGCTGTTATAAGAAAATTTATGTTATTTCATGACAGCACTTACAAAATGAATGAATTTTTTTCCTAGTTTCTTATCAAATGACTTTTTTACACATGGAAAAGTGAACATGTACTTAATTTTTAAAAACTAATTCTAGTCTATCTGGTAAGCTATCAGAAAAACTAGTATTTTACAACTCCAATGAATGTTCCTGAGTTTGTGATACCAAGAATACAAATAGGCATATATACATATATATCTCTCCTTCACCAGGGAACCAAGAGGCGACATCATGATTGAGAAAAGATGAAGCTGTCAAAGATTTTATTCAACCCGGATCCATAATCAACACCTATGGTAGCAGCAGTGAAGAAATCAGAAGATAATGTGCTACACTGGGGAAATCTGCTATCAAAGACCTCTCCAAAATGATAATACTCTTTCATGTGTTAGCACTTGATGATGCTAAAATGATGTCAATTTGAAAACTAAGGTATGCCTGGTCTTTTCTATCATGTGCTGTGCATCCAAGAATAAGATGAAAGAATTGATGCCATTGAATTATGGTGAGTGAAAAGGAGTTGTGCTGCCAACCTAAAGGTAAGTGGTTAAAATCTACCAGCTGTTAAATAGGAGAAAGATGGGCAATCTTCTCCTATTCAATTATACTGCCTCTGGAGTTTCGGGTAACTACAGGTTAGCTATAGTTACAGCAAAAGCAACAGCAAGCACCAAAAGAACAAACCAATCTAAGTTGAAGGAAGCGCAACCAGAATGCTCCTTAGAGACAAGGATGGTAAAACTTCATCTCACTTACTTTGGGCATATTTTGAGGAGGAACCAGTCCTTGGAGACAAGTATCATGCTGGAAAAGGCAGAGAGTCAGCAAAAGAGTGGAAAACTCTCAATGAAATAGACTGACACAGGGACTACCAGAGTGGAATGGAGCATGATAGACATCCTGAAGATGGTACAGGATAGGGCAAGGTTGGGTCTGTTGGGTCACTATAAGTTGAAGTCAACTTGATGGCACCAAATGATGACACTGAGATATAGTTCGCATAATATAAAATGTATTTTTTTTTCAACAAATTAGTGGTTTGTATTATATAGTCACCATCATTGTTTAATTTCAGAACACCACAAATCGGCCCCATACCCAAAAGCATTATTGCTTATTCTCCCTTCTCTCAGGTGCCTCCAAACCACTTAATCTACTTTCTGTACTTAAAGATTTGCCTATTTCATGTAAAAAAAAAAAAAATAAAAAAAAATAAAAAAAAAAAAAAAAACACCTATAATGTCTTTTGTGACTGGTTTATTCCAGTTAGGATCAATTTTTCAAGATTCAGCCATGATACAAAACGCATCGACATTTCATCCTTTTTAATTCATTTCCACCCAAATTTGGCAACCCCACATGTCAACAGAAAGGTTAGTCCACAAAGTTTTCAATGGCTGCTTTTTCAGAACTAGAGTCCAGGGTCCTACTTCTGAGGAACCTTGTGGAGAACTCGAATTGCTGAATGTGTTAACTGTTTCTACCACTAAGTAACTCCTAATTCCTTACTGTGAAATAAAGTGTCATATAAAATAATACACACACACACACACACACACACACACACACACACACTATACAACTAGTGGTGTTTTTAGGTGCTGTCGAATCAAACACAACTCACAGCAACCCTATAAGCAAGAGATCTAAAACCTGTCCTATCCTGTGGCATCATCATCTCTTGCATACTTGGGTTCACTGCTGCAGTCACTGTGTCAATCTATCTCGCTGGGGTTCTTGCTTTCTCTCGCTGACTCACTTTTCCAGCCATGATGTCCCTTTCCAAGGAACAGCCCCTCCTTACAAACAACATGGCCAAAAATATGTGAAATGAAGCATCACCATCTATCTGACTTTGTCCAAGACATATCTGTTTGTTCTTGTGGCACTTCATGAGATACTCAGTAATCTTTTCCAACATGAAAACTTAGTTAGTGGGCAGATAAAGGAACAGCAAATATTCAATGAGAATGTGAAAAGATGAAGTAACAATAGGCATAGAACATCAGAAATTAATTACATAAAATACAACGTATAGACTAGATAGATCACAATGTACATGAACAAAATGCAAAGTAAATGAAAAATTGCATAAAACACAAATGTACATGCATGAAATACAATGCATATGAATAACTGCATGCAAGCCAATACAAATATGAAAAAAAGACACTTGGTTTAATTGGTCTATGTCATGAGAAGTTTATAAACAAGGGAATTAGAAACTACAATTAAACCGTAATACTGTCTAGCTTGAACTAGATGACAAATAGAATCTAACTACTTAATATTTGGGGGGGGGGTTAGTTAACAGAAAACAAAACAAAACAAAAAACAGATGTCTAAGTAGCAATGTTTCAATTGGAGCCCAATCTCCGTAGAATTTTGATGCAGAAAAAGTGTAGAAGCTACAAAAAAGAAAAGGCGCTGGGCAATCTTTGATCACGAGACTTGAGAAATGAAAAACTATTGATGAGATGAAAAACTAAATGAAGGAAATATGTGGTTAAACTTTTTCTAAATCAAGAGCTCATGGACAAATAACAGGCTTATGAAGAGTTGGTGATTACAAGCACGGTTCAATAGCACTGAATACCAAAAATAGAAGATTCTCTTCTTCCTTCAGGGCAACGTACAATGGCGAAACAGTTTGAAATAGATGTCTTATCAATGTTCCTAACGATATCAACTTTTTCTCATTTTCTCTCTTTGATATTCAATGGCCTCACCTTATCCCCAAGCCCTAGAATAGGGCGACTGTGCCCAAGACAGCAATGTGAATGCAGTTGTGGCTGTAAACCATCAGCAGCAGTATTTGAAACTACCAGAAAAACTGTCAGTCATAATGTGCATTTCCTTTGCCCAAACAAATCTGTGGTTTGAGATTTCAGGCAAAACATCCATAAAAAATGAAATACACCAGATGGGAAACGAAGTGATCTGAAGGCCTAAGAAGCCACGGCAAACAATCCAGATGTCTCTTCCTTATCTCTAGCCCCTAAATGCCTCTTACCATTTCTTCCTCAACTCTCACAAAGGTTTCAAGCTTTATATCCTCCTTTTAGTGACCAGCCTTTATGAAATGTTCTACAGTCTGGTATGGAATTATTTTTATCTAGCAAAGTGGAAAACAAAAGTAAGAGAGTAGAAAGGATGAGACAATCAGGAAATCCTTTTCCTCAAGACAACCTTGAAATTTAAAAATATGGAAATTTGCTGCAACTACAGCCTTCATTATGGATTACATCTTAACATCATGAAGACAAAAATTCTAACCACTGGTCTGACAGGCAACATCATGATAGAAGAAAAAAGACTGACATTTCTTCATCTTACTTGGATCCACAATCAATACCCTGCGTACCAGCAATTAAGGAATCAAAGGATGTACTGCACTGGGAAAGCAGGCTGTCAAGGAACTCCCCAAAGTACTAAGGAGCAATGATGTCAGAATAAAGACTAAAGTGCACCTGTCATTTGCTATGCATCTCAGAGTTGGATAATGAAAAAAGATAACTAAAGCTGAGCCAATGCTTTTGAGTAGTGGTGATGGAGAAAAGTACTGAATATATGATGGACTATCCAAAAACAAATAGGTATAACTTGGAGAGAGTGCAGTAAGAGTGCTCCTTTGAGGCAAGGATGGTGAAGCACTGACATATATTTTGGGCATGTTTTTAGAGAGGCCATTCCTTGGAAAAAGACAGCATGTTTGAAAGGGTAGAGGGACAGTGAATGAGAGGAAGACCTTCAATGAGATGGACTGATACTGTAATTGCAGCAATAGGCCCAAGTATGTCAGAGATGATGATGATAGCACACAACAGGAAATGGTTGAGATCCATTGTTTACAAGGTCCTATGAGTCAAAGCTGACTTGATGGCACCTAGGAACAAGTCACTGTGGGAGCTCTGGTGATGAGTCCATAGACAGTGGTACTAAAATCCAAAAGTCATATCACATACTAACAAAATATGCTGAAGATTATCCAGAAATTACTGGAACAGTACATTAACAGAAAATTATCAGAAATACAGGCTGGGCTGAGAAGAGGCCATGGCACTAGGAACAGTATAGTAAACATCAGGTGAGCCTAAAAGCACAGAGTATCAGAAGAATGTCAATCCGTATTTTACTGGCGGTGCAAAGGCATTTGACTGTGTGTGGATCACAACAAATTGCAGCTAGCCTTGAGAAGAAAGGGAATCCCAGAACATCTGGTTGTGTTCATGCAAAATCTGTATTTGGACCAGGATGCAGATGTCACAATAAAGCAAGGAAACACTGTATGGTTCAAAATCAGGAAAGGAGAGAGTAAGGAATGCATCTTGTCTCCATACTTTTAAATCTCTATGTGATACAGCTCATTCAGAAGTTGATATTTATGAGGAGGAATGTGGCATCAGAATTGGAGGAAGACTCATCAACAACTTGTGTTATACATATGACACAGCCTTGCTTGCTGAAACTGAGGAGGACCTGAAACATCTGCTGTAGAAGGCCAAGGACTGCAGTCTCCAATGTGGATTGAAATTCAACATCAAGAAAATAAATATTCTCGCCACTGGGCAAACTGGCAGCACCATAATAGATGGCAAATTGGCAGCACCATAATAGATGGAGAAGGCACTGAGATTGTTAACAATTTCAGCTTGTTCAAGTCCATAATCAACACTCTTGGAACCAGCAGACAATATCAAAAGACAAA